TGGCACAGATTGCAAGATCATGCTTGTTTCCTTTTCACCAAATGTCACATGGATGAACTTTAAACATGAATTTTTTTAAGGCGACACCATAATGATATTTTTGTCCTTGTCTAAACCGGGCACGGCTGTGTTGCCATTCCAAAGATTACGAGGCAAGAGAAAGAAAATATAGGGGGAGGGGGGGGGGGGGGGGGCTCCTGCACGTATTAAGTTGATTGGCCTGGAATGGCCCGGAGCATACCAAGCTATAGATCAGGGCCACAGCTAACCTATATATCTTCATGTTACTGTGCGTCCATGTGCGAGTGACCCTCATTGCTTGATTTGTAATCAAAAGAAAAAACATTGCAATATGTGTCAGCTGTGGTATGGCGCCTGACGCTCTCGCGAAGACGCTGCGGCTAATAGCTTTGGTTCATTCAGGAAGTCGTGCACACTTTGCGCTTGAACCAGTATAGTCGGGTTCCCTAACGTGGCGCACTTCGAAGCTTACCCAAATTTCCTCGTGTAGTGTTGCCAAACCTCTTTGTGGACAAACCTCAAATTCATGTAGTGAAATACTGGTACTTTTACCTTATTAATGCTTGCTGTTTAACCTCTGTGAACAATTTCGGTTTCATAAAATTTAGGGCCGAAATTAAAAAACGGTGGCGTCCGGAAATTGGGCACAATTTGGCGGAGTGTTCCCTAACGTGGCGCACTTAAATAAATCTCGGAAAATTCCAAATTAACATTTAAGAATTTCTGTAAACTCGATAAATTCTGATAAATCATTATTATCTCTACCTACATACCCAGCCAGATGTTTGTCACAAAATTGATTTTCTTATTTTTCGGGGCATTTTCAAAGGGTTCACTTTGCACTTGAAAATAAAATCGGAAAATCACGCCAAAATAATTTTTTCTTTTAACTTTGTAGCGGGTAAATAAACTCGCGATTTATGAACGGGAGTGTTTATAACTTGATGAAATTTCACTTTCTGTGAAATTTCAGTTAAAACTTTTGCTCTAGCTAGGCGCTACAGGCGAAAAATCAAAGTGCGCCACGTTAGGGGCCGCGCCACGTTAGGGTACATCAACAATACAGTACAGTACGCACACGTAGTGCGTCCCGTCCACGGCCGGGTCTCTCTAAAGTGGTAAAAAAAACGTGACGGGCAATTCCATGGTTACTCACGTTACATTTTTGATGCACATTTGAGTTTCCTTGGGCTGTAATGACCTTACTGAAAAGGTTTAATAACTGTTATCCCCATAGACAGAGTAGACCTAGACCTACCTAAGCACCAAAGATGACATCCAGAAAAATGTGACATGATAAACAAGACGCACAAAATGGTTACTCACATTACAAAAATGTAACATGAGTAACCAATTTTGTGCGTCTTGTTTATCATATAATATAGCACGTTTTTCTGGATGTCATCTTTGGTGCTTAGGTAGGTCTAGGTCTACTCTATCTACCATGGGGATAACAGTTATTAAACCTTTTCAATAAGGTAATTACAGCCCAAGGAAACTCAAAAAGTACATCAAAAATGTAACGGGAGTAACCGTGGAATTGCCCTGACCGATTTTGTTTGCGCATGCACGGAGCCCATATTCTTATAAATCTTTGAATGTCCTCGATTATCCCTGTAATGTTTCCAGTTGCGTGCCTGGGCGTAATCAACGTCCAAATAAAAATGAGAAATAACATCGCTCGGCTGTGAAATTACGCTCGGCATGTGCCACCACCGCCTTCGCCTTTCATTTTTTGGAACGAGTTTTAATTAAAGTTCACGTGTACCGCGGTTAACCGGCAACCGTGTCCGTCGTTGTTTACATGAAATCGTTCATGAGGAAACCACATGATTAATGATGGCCACACAGTTTTGCAGCTTGGTGTGTCAGCAATGTTCATAGTGATATTCTCTCAAAATGAGATGACATTTTGTATGTCACTGGGACTGTAATCATTGATATTGTGGGGTTTTTTCTTGTTTCCCCCCCCCCTTTATTAGATCTGGAGACCGTACAAATGTAGATTTAGTGGGGCAGATACATGTAGGGGAAATACCGGTATTTGGGGGAATTGTGCCTTTGATGATACTAGCATGGCATTTGGCACACAGTCAGAGAATGACATGAGAAATATATTTGGCTATAGGGCCATCCCAGATTTGTCCTTTGAAAAAACGTAGGTTATTGTTATTCTACCTATATTGTTTCAAAGGACAAATTGAGATGACCCTATGGCCAAATACTGTATCTTTCACATGACATACTCTGACTTTGTGCTCAATTCCATGCTTGTATCATCAAAGGCACAATCCCATCACCTATCTGCCTTAATAGTTTGTTGCTGTAGAGGGACAAACCTAACCCACCTCAATCCTCCAAGGATTGAGGTGGGTTAGGTTTATTCCTCCAAAATTCTCCTGGCGGTTTTGTTATTGTAGGATTTTTGAGGATTGAGGATGAATGGTGTTTGAAAAACATTAGGATTTTGGAGAATTGAGGATGGTTCCTAGCAAAACGGGCCTAGGGGTTCAGGTTAATGAATGATCAGATCCTAAAAATAAATGACATACTGGTATAATCCCAGAACTCTTATTTAAAGAGATGGGAATATTCCAAATTTTGTGATTTAACTTACCGGGTTTTTTTCCTTTTTTAATTTCTTTTATTTATTTATTTTTTTTTTTGCTTTTTTTATTTTATTTAGTTATTTATTTTATTGATTTATTTATTTATTTTTATTTATTATTATTATTATTTTTATTTTTTTTTTGGGGGGGGGAGGGGGGGGGGGAGGGGGGGAGGGAGGGGGGGGGTATCCCAGAGATGATCAAAGGGGGAAGAGAGGGGATGGCAGGAGATCTTGACCCTCATTTGAAATGTTTATTTCTTACAAAATGTCAAATGCTTAGAAAAATGACTACCTTACATGTACTCTTTTTGTTATAAACTCTGCAACAAACTATAAGCTGGAAACACTGCAGTTTCATTGAGTGCTCCTTAATTTGGGACAAAATATCAGTTATTACTCAAGACAAGCACGTGCAATGTAAATGTACATGCATACAATGTACTTGTACGATGCACTTATTTCCTGCTCCTGCCGATTAGTCTTTCACAGGTAATACCGGTATCTCTCAGTGCTTTGTGTCCAGGGGTGCTAAATTACCGGTATACATGCATGACATGACAACAACGTACATTTTCATGTAATTATTATAATCATTTGCAGCGCATAAAAAGTTAATGTGCCCCTTTTTACATTTTTAATTCGTGAATAATATTGTTAGTGATGTTGAATCAATTGTCTTTATTTGTCGGATAAAACTGACCTTTCTTTTTCAAAAATTGGACAATTTCTTGTATGATACGTACAAACAAATGTACGACAAGGCGTACACTGTACTTGTGTACATGATGAAATTTTGTTTTGTCACATCGAGTGAACTTTCTGGATATATTCCAAAAATATGTAGTTTGAAAACCGACACTATTAACCTTGGCTAAATTCCCCCCCCCCTCCCCTTTTGTCTGTACAATGTACCGATACCAAAATAGGTGTTCTTCATGTACATGTACATACATGTATGTGTGTACATGTATCTAAAACAGAACAATCCGCATGCCAAGCGTACTCATTTTGTTTTTTATGTAGATGCCAAGCGTGTCTTAACTTGCAGGTCACCAGGCTACCGTACCAGTGCAAGACGTCATCCAAGCCTCCCAGACCCCCGTCCCTCCAAGACAAACACGCACATAATCCAAGTGTGTCTGGAGTCGCACGAGCATGTCTGAAAAACCAACACGTCGGGAGGGGGGGGGGGGATGATCGACCAAAGACAAATACCGCGCAGATACTGTACTTGCTGAGCGAGATCCCCTGTCATCCTGACAGTGTGTTATTAACAAGATAATATTTGGCTTCCAAACTGTCAATATGGATCTAAGTCACCGCATGCCGTGGTGGCCTGGAAGACCCATGTAATTATTGGGATGGATTGGGGGGGGGGGGGTAGTAGGGATGCTGCTGTGTGTTGACACACGTTACAAGGGGAGAAGTTAATATCTTAGTAGAGTTTGTCACACAGTTCATGTACCTGGTACATGTACGTATACGATGTGCACTACTGTAAAAAGTGTAGGGGACATTTAAACAAAATTGTGGACAACTTTAACTGCGATCTTATCTCAGTGCTTTTCGGAAACCCTATTTCGTTTCTACATGTATATATACATCTAATTGCATTAATGTTTGTATTGTTTTGCAGTAATAAACGTATTTTAACATACATGAATGTCTTTCCCGTACATAAGATTAAAGTGTGTGATTAAAGTTGAATGTTTAGATACTATTCATTCGATTGTGGCATGTATACATGTCCACCCACACATACCATACCGGTACATGTATTGTGTATTGTACACATAGTATGCACTTACATGTACATGTAGTACCATATTGCATTGGTACAAAATGTACATGAACATGTACATGTACATGTATGTAGAATTTACATTTTGTGGTATTTAAATTCAATTTGGTGGCAATTTAGTTTGACCTTCACAGGCAGAACATGCATGTAATTTACATACACATGTACGTGGTTTTCTTAACCTAACGACCGATCAGAAATAACATGTCCCAAGCTTCCACACTTCGACCACCGGCAAGCTCGATCAGCAGTGGATGTGTTTTGACAGTTTATTCTAAAACACACATTTGAGGTTATTTTAAAACTTAATTGAAAATTGAAATTCAATAACAACTGAATGAGTGTTTGCTGTGCCCACACGTTTTGTAATTAACTCTGTGCTTTCGTAGCCTGACAACCGATCAGAGGAAGACGAAGAAAAAAAAGCGTACAAATATTTGTGAGTTTGCATATTAACAGTTTGACCCTGGCTTCTGGGAATTTAAAATTGGCACTACATTTCAACATATTTACGGTACGTGTACATGCATCTCTTGATTCAATCTTTTTTTTCTTTTTTTTCGGCAGCACACAAGAAACATTATTCACCGTGACTTGAAAGCTGAGAATGTCTTCTACGCTGCCAACGGACTTGTCAAAGTAGGAGACTTTGGTTTCAGCACGACCTTCAAGCAGGGAGAAATGCTGAATACGTTTTGCGGATCGCCACCGTACGCAGCCCCGGAACTGTTCAAGGATGAGCATTATGTGGGACCCCCGGTGGATATATGGGCCATCGGGATCATGCTTTACTTCATGGTGGCCGGGGTGATGCCGTTCCGGGCCGACACCGTTGCCAAACTCAAAAAGTGCATTCTGGACGGTCAGTTCACGATACCCTCGTTCGTCTCCAGCTCCTGCCAGGCGTTGATACGCAGCGCCCTCAAGCACAATTCCACGGAGCGCATCACGATAGACGGGATCAAGAACGCGGCGTGGCTGCGCGGACAGGACTTTCCCGCGGCCCACCATTCGTGCCACCTGACGCCGTGCTTTGACTACCAGACGGCGACGGCGGAGGAGAAGGAGGTCCTGTCGCAGCTGTTGCATCTCGGCGTCACCGAGGAACACTTGGCGTCCACGCGGGACCGGGATGCGCGGAGCAGCATCACGGGAACCTACCGCATCATGCTACACCGAATACAGAAGAAACACATTGAACCACCCATCATCACCACGCAAGCGTCTAACGGACAGAATCCGCCCACCAAGAAACGGAGCAAGGACAGTAGAAGGATGAAAAACAAGCCCTCCAAGCTATGTACAATATTGTAGTATTTATCTTCATTCTTTTTATAGGTCTGATGTGTGTGAAACTAATAGTGTATACTATCAAAAGAAATCTAGGTTTAAAGCACAAAGACTACATGTACGTGCCCCTATCCCTCCCCATACACTACCATCGTCTACATGTAGTCGTGATGCTGTCTTAGAAAGCTTTACGTAATCATTGCCAGCTTTTGAAATTTGAGGCATGGTCCCCATCTTCACACAACATCGATGTAAATTACACATCACAGTTGTCAACCATGATTATTACTCAACATCAGACAGGGTTTAGGGAATAGGAATTTGTCGGGGAACAAAACAACACTATTCCCGGTCCTTTGTATCGAAGAGAATTTCAGCATTTGCTGCTAATTATAATCGTCAGTTTTGTGTGCACACCTGAACCAATGACTCAGGTTAAGATCCGTAAAGTTAATGTTTTGTATTGTCTCATTGGATCTGTATTATCCTCATAACTACCTGCACAGTTAAGGTTGCATTTTGAAAATGTATTTTCTGAAAAAAGATACGTTGAAGGAAAATTTTTCAGCTGTGACTTTCATATGATGACCGAGTGTTGTACAGTGGAACACTGATGCAGTTTCTTGTATTGAAAAAGTCTCTCAAAGCTGTCATTCGCAAAGCTGTCATTCGCAGAACTGGCCTACCTCAAACCTTTCTGTGATTTCTTGAAAACAGGCAACCAGGGTTAATATCATTGAGCTTTTGATGTATAGAAATAACAATACCGAATGCTGAAGCAATTTGCATTTCTGGCAAAAACAGGGCATCAGCCTAAATAACAAAGACGTTGACGAAACGGGGAACCACCAGCATAGGGCTCAAGCTGGATAGCTCAGTTGGTAGAGCACCGTAACGGCAGTCTTGAGGTTGTAGGTTTTTAAACCCACTCCAGTAAATTTCTTTGTTCAACTAAAAAAATATGTGTACAAAAACTTTTTTAAGAATACCATTTAGTGTGTGGTCACAATTGTGGTGGTGTCACCACCAGAGGGCATTGGTGCACACATACCGGTAAGTGGCACATGCGTAAAGATTTCACATGCGTTGAGTGGTTATACTCATTGGTCGGCAGAAGTCAAGCAAGTGGACAAAATCCAGAATAGACTTGACCTCAGTCTTACAAGTAGTCCATTTTGGGAAGACAACCTTTTATTCATGTTTGAATTCCCCCTTACGAGACTTCTCGAGGGTTTCTCATGGATTTTTTTTGTCTTTGGAGGATTTGTTGAGGATTTTGAAAAGAAAATGGGTGTGTTATCAAAATCTGAGCATATTATTTGCTATTAAATAGAAGATACAAATGTACAAATTGAAAAAAAAGTTTCCATTTTAGACCTAAACCTCAGGGACTGATTATGGACGCTGTCTCGGTGAAGGTTAAGCTTTTTTTAAGGACCCTTCTATTGTTTACACGAAAGGATGTGACATTTACACATTTAAAGGTAGGGTTAGGGTACATCATTTGTCATTTGTGCATCTTTTTTCATTTGAAGCAACAAAAGTGCTCAAAATCTAAAGACGGGTGCTTAACAGCTAACCTGATGAAGTTTTAGCTCTGTGAATGCTGTACATTCGGAGAAAACAAGATTCTAGGGACTCGTTTTCAATTCAAAATTTGCCTAGTCACGTTTTGAATTGCGCCCGAAATCAGCGTCCGGGACACGCTCTCATTCAGCCGATTGCAGCTACGCGATGTCATGCGCTGTACTGATGAATAATACAAACAGTGTGTGCGCGTGCATCGTATCAACGCTCGAGCGCACCCAGTTACAGATGTGCTGAATTACAAACAATGGACATTTCTAACGATGCGTCACTTGACGCATTGTTGGAAAGGCCTTCTTGCATTGTTTTCTTCAAAATGACAGCATGCCAGAAAGAATAATTTCACAGGGAGTTTAGTGCCATTACTATCTTCAAACCTTTCCGTCAATAATTTCGTCATTAACTTTTTGGATAGCTGCAAATGATATACATGTGCTCTGCCTTTAAAAAATAAATTCTATTTCCGTTTATAAACTTTCCAAATATTTAAATGAAACCTGCATTTAAAAAAGTGTCATTATGCTTACTCGATCTGCCCTCGAAGTTGCACAGGTATATTAAGGCCCCCCAAAAAAGTCTCCGGTTTCTGGTATGGAGCTTGCCCAAAAAGTGGTGCGGCGACGCAGCTTTTTTTTTTTTTTTTACTTGCCTGTTTTTTTTTGCTTCAAATGTCGGCTGATGACTGCAAATGGTGCCCGAATAAACTTGTGCAAATATACTGGGAGTCCAGAGAGGACACATAAAGCTTATTCTCGATCATAACCCCATCTAAAAACACGTTAAAACTGTGCAGCAGCAGGATTCCAGTCAAACCAGTGAGTTTGGCGGTTTTGAGACATCATCTTTTATTGAAAAAAAACTTTTTCATTTTGCCGACGCGCATGGCTACGGCGACGCGCGCACATACCAGAAACCGGAGACTTTTTTGGGGGGGCCTAATGAAGGATTGCTTTAAATCCTTCTAATTTACAAAGCATTAATTAGAAGCATCTCAGTACGTCATCACATTCTGGTCCGTTAAGTTTTTATTCATTTTCATTGACTGCCAACTGTCCAGTGTGTCAATTATAAACAATGTTAACAATTGATTGTGTTTTATGTTTTGAATACATGCGGCTGGCCCAAGATCGACACTCATTGTGCGCAAGCTAATACGAATAAAATTACAATTTTTTTAAAACACGCCCGAGTGCGAGTGTAAACATACCACGGCGGTCGTCAGCCTTTGTGAAGTGGTTTAAACGTTTAAACAGTGCTTAAACGGTTTGTGAAATATTTACAATATTAATTGCAAAGTCCCATGCTTTGCTTGCAAGGATACCGCGTTGAGATTGACACGGAAGAAAATAGACAGCAAATGGAACACACACAGCTGTGTATCGGATGATATGCAAAGCAGGGACCTCGTTAAATTCGCATGCATTCATTTGCTTGTAAGCCACACATGTTCTCATTAAAAAAAAAAAAAAAAAAGCCTGATCTTTAATTCATTGCAACACTGCCGGAAAAGGAATTTCAAATTCATGAAATAATCTTGCCGTGATTAATTCATGAATTGACGTCAGTGTGTACCCAGTGTATACCTCATCTGGGTTTTGCATTGCTGCCTGTAGTGCTACTGCTACTGCTCTCTGCATATTTCATGATTGTCGGGTCGTTTTAAAGGGGTCTGTTTAAAAAAGAGCTTGCGGTGTGGGTTTTTTTAATGCTAAGGCAAAAAAAATATAAAAAAAAAAATCTGCTTCCGATTACATGGCATTTGAAAATAGGGTACATGTAGGTCCATTTTTTTGTGGGGGGGGGCATTTTTTGGTGTACGATCACATGGAGGTGTCTGCATGTAGTAAAGGGTATAAGGTAGTAATTAATGGTTTTCAGTTTTTTTTTCTTATTCCCCCCCCCCCCCCCCCCCCAAATAGGGTAGGGGCTGTCAAAATAGGGTTGGTAGGGTAACCGGAAGCAGAACTTTTTTTTTGGCCTAGGTCAAGATTTTTGTGCAGCATTTGTTCCGAGAAATATGAATATACATTTACATGTAAGCACCACAAAAAAAAAAAACAATCACACAGTGACATAAAATCTTGGTGTGTTTTTTACCGAAGAGTTTTACCAGTATGCATTTAAAAGAACGAAGCTCGTCAATTTTTATCAATTCTTAAATTGAATCTTTGCTAAATTCTCGGTATTCTGGCCGTTGTGATTCAGTGAAAATATTGTACATTACGGTGATTTTAATAATTTAGGCAAGAGTGTACAGTCAGAGTATTTTTTAAGAAAAAAGAAAAATGTTCTCAGATTTATATTTTGCAGAATTCCATCCAGAAAAGCAGTGAAGAAATCTTGTTTATTTGTAAATTACAAATTTCTATGACTTTGCAATTATCTTCATTGTGGTGTATAGTATTATAAATGGAGTGTGTTTTTAGACAGTTTGACATTTGACATTTGAAAACAAAAAGACATTTGATTATTTTCCTTGATGTTATTGTTGATTGTACGCAGATATGATTATTAAATCCTGGAAAATTGCTTTGAGGAATAAACAATAATAATTCTTTTAGTTATAGATAAAAAAAAATTTCATGGAAAAAAACCCTCATCATGGAATATACAACATTTTCTTTTGCTGTAATTTTCAGAAAACGGGTGGATTTGGGGGTTGGTATTTCATAGCAAATATTGTTACACCGTGACTTGTGTGAAGTTTTGTGTTTGTAGATACTGGTAAAACCAAGAAAAACAATCATGTTCCTGTAGTCTGGCTCCCTGACTCCACTTAAGATGAAACGAAGCAATTTATGGACGTCGGGGAATTGTAAGTTCGGGGAAGCAGTCTATCTGGCTTGTACCTGTTCATAGGTGTGTAATCGGTTGCAAACAAAATGCGGACTCACTAAATACGGTAAATTATTGGGAGCAGTATTTGAATAAGGCCCCCCCAAAAAAGTCTCCGGTTTCTGGTATGGAGCTTGTCCAAAAAGTGGTGCGGCGACGCGGCTTTTTTTTTTTTTTAACCTGACTTTTTTGCTTCAAATGTCGGCTGATGATTGCAAATGGTGCCCGACTAAACTTAGTGCAAATATATGGGAGTCCAGAGAGGCCGCATAAACTTATTCTCGATCATAACCCCATCTTAAAACACGTTAAAATTGTGCAGCGGCAGGATTCCAGTCAAACCAGTGAGTTTGGCGGTTTTGAGACATCATCTTTCATTGAAAAAAAACTTTTTCTTTTTGCCGACGCGCATGGCTACGGCGACGCGCGCGCATACCAGAAACCGGAGACTTTTTTTTTGGCCTAAAAGCCAGTTTTTTTTCAACGCTGGTCAGTTTCTAGAAGATGTCGGCACAACGGGTGCCATTATTTTACAGGATGCTTTAGACTGTCATTCACTAAGGCGAAATAAAAAAAGCCTCCTTTTTTTTTAATTGAAAAAAAAAAAAAACCAACCCGGTTATTTTGAAAAATGGGTCAGGCGGCCATTTTGGAAAAATGGGGCATCCTTCCTTTTTTTCTTTTTGCCTAACAGTCCAGTGAGGTATTTGATAGAAATTTGGTAGTTTTGTTTTTCGATGTTTGCAAATGTTGTATTTTCCCATAAAATTAAACAAATTATGGCGTGCTGAAAAATGATGGGCAATTTATGATGTCCAGATTTCGTTTTCTTTTTCACCAAAAGTTTGTTTCTTTTACCGATGTTCAAAACGGTGTTTAATATCTTACATGTGTCCTTTTTTTCTGGAGATTTTTATGAAATTCCTACAACTTTACTGATCTTACCTACTTTTAGCATCAATGAAAGGGAAACGACACAATTATTTATTGATTGTTGATGACGAAATAAATTAACATGAAATCTTTAAATGTCAGATCTTTTCCTGTACGTTCTTGAAGTTTTGTGGAGATTTCACTTTATTTATTCACTTTATTTTGGTCGGTTCATTGTCCTTATCAATTCAAAATAGAGGCCTTAACCAAAACAAATCGGGGAAAATTCCCGCGAATGCAACGCGAATGCAACGTGAAAAATAATTGAGTACATTTTTCAAATACAGGCTGTATATTATCGCCATGTACGCGCAAAATACGAAAGTATGTGCAAGCTTTTGTGTTGGAATTCACAATGAAATTATATGTGATATTCTTTTTAGTTGACCAACATTGATAATTTGATTATGTACATGTATAATGAATTTTGTTATCAGGGGTTTTTTTTTCAGTAGGCCTATACAACCAACCTTTTATTATTGAGGAATATTAGTACGGCAGATGAGATAGGTGATGGGATTGTGCCTTTGATGATACAAGCATGGAATTTAGCATGCCATGGAAGAATATTTGGCTATAGGGCCATCGCAGATTGAAAAAAAGGTAGTATTAAATAACAAGCAATGGCAGCCATTTTGAAAATTTTGAAAATTGTTTGTTAGTTTTTACTCTAGTAATTTGTTTACACAAAGGACAAATCTGCGATGGCTCTAAAAAGCCAATGTTTCTCATGACACACTGTGTGCCAAATTTCATGCTTGTTTCAAAGGCGTAAATTCCCCCGAATATTTCCCCCATAATCTGCCCCACAATGAAGTGTGGAAATTATTAAAACTGCATTGGTAACATAAGCCGATGTTGGTAAGCTGATAATACCAAAGGGTCAGGAATCCACCAGTGCTATATGGACAGATAACCGTTTGCTATGGCAACGCATCTTTAACGTTCGACCTGCCTCGGTCGTCAGAGAAATAATTTGCTCGAGATTGCTCTGGTTCGTTCGTACATGTACATCCGTCGCATTCACACGGAATAATTTTAAGGCAGTCCGGATACGCCCTAATCTCGGCGTTGACAACTCCAATCCAATCAACGGCGGCGTACCATGAGAGAAAAGCAAAGTTCGATGGCCCCTTATCCGTCGGGTCATGTGATTGGCGTTCATTATTGTTGGACCTGGAATTTGGAGTGATTTTTTTCCGCTCATTTGAGCCGAGTTCAAATTCGATTTTTTTTTAGAAAATGGGAATTTTTTGATTGATTTGTCTGGGGGTGGTGACTGGATTATTCAGAGCAGGCAAAAGTTGATCGTTACCGATTTTATGTCGAGCTGCTGCGGGAAATTTGATTGCAATATTTACGCGACATCGGTGAATGACTGAATATCCGATATAGAAAGCGCCCGCTGATTGGTCAAAATCTAGAGGTCAAGATGCGGTTGTCTTGCAAAACTAATCAGCGAATCTGCTCAATGATATAGACCATCGCTTTCGCTACATTAGACTAAGTTTTGAGGCGAAGCTGTCCGAATTTCTGCTTGTGACGACCCCTTGAAATTCTCGTCCGAGGATGAACATAATTCATTGATTGCGAGGAATATCAGGCCTTTCTGCATTTTGTATACAGCTCTCAATCCAGATTCTGGATTGATGTGTGCGTGTTTAATTTCTTTCTCTAAAAATAATGTGTGACTTGATCGGTGCAATTTCTGTAATGCGTTGGAACATGTTCGCCATACTGTCCTTGTCGCGACTGTATGTTGTAATAATAATGTCATTACTAATTTCCTTTTTCCCCGGTAAACATCCATCTCCGTAACCCGGCATCAAACCAGCACAGTGTTTGTCTAAGAAATCAAGGGAGTGCAATTTTGAAAATTAGATGTCGCCGATTTTCCACCGGAGCATGGAGGTGGCAGTCCAAAGTGCACTGCTTTGGTTCAATTTGCTCATTGCAGTGGAAGCTATTTTGCTTCATTCACGGCAGGCCAGGGCACCGATCATGATGGCAGATTCGTATACTTGTCACGTATCTGGTTTCATCATGGGGCGGGGAACGGGAAAAGTAGGTCTTTACCCGCTCTAGTTTTTTTTTCACAAAATATGAAGCAGATTGCCTGTAAAACATAGTTTGGAAAGGAAATACAGAAGATGATCGTTTTCCGACATCTTTTTTTTTTTTTTTTTTATAAAGCCTCATTGCCAATGACAGAGGTAGCTTGCACTGCATGCCGCGGTCACTTATGAACTTTGGACTCGTCATATGAAATCTGGTCTCTCTAATTTATTGGGTTTTTTTTTTTTTTACCTTTTGAGTGTAACCCTCACGTGACCTGTCACTTTCCTAACTTATGTTCACGACATCTTGTGCAATGCAATTTTTTGGGTTCATATTTGGAAGAGAAATACCCCTAGTTCTATAAACTGAAGAGTGTCTTCCTAGCTAAGGTGGTGTCACGGCAACACCGCCCTCGGTTGTCGGCAAAAGTCGAAACATTATTTTGTAAGTGCACTTTTCATTTTCAAAACCAATTAACCCAAAAAGGATGAAGAAAGGTGCGCAAAAATATGTTCGCAAGTAAAATTCATGTCATAAACATTTAAGCTTAGCTTTGATAACAATCGATTGCATTGTACTTGTATTCGATACCTAGGTAACTACGATAATATTCCGTCAAATGATCAAGATGTAAACGACACTTGAACCAAACGCTCAATAAAAATGAAACTAAGAACAGAAAGTAACGACTTGGACCAAGACTAGGTGTCCACGTGCGGTGTCCACATGACCCAGATTCGGCGCGCGGAGTATTATGCTAAGTTCACTTTTTGAAATGCATAGCCGACATTCTTTGGACTGTTTCCGGAACAATGACATCGACGTAAAAGAATTTTTCGGGGTCCAGTTTGCATTTTTGGCCTAATTAAATACATTGTGACTTGGGCAAGTGAGGGATGTTCAGCACGAAAGGCCAAGGCACCATGGCGCTACATTTGAGTTGTCTTCTTGGATATTTTTAAAATGATTTTTTGAACTCTGCCACGTACGGCTTTCAGAGTGTGTGTGTCCAAATTGCTCTATGGTATGTCAAAGGAACCTCGCAACCTTGACTGGAGGAATTAACCACGTAAATGGACGAACTTCACGGTGTCTTATGATTTTCTGCGAGGTGACAATAGCTTGCACAAGCTGTACATCTAGGTAAGTCGATTTAAACAAATTGTCATTATCCAATAAACCTTACAAGCCTACTTTGAAAAAAAAAATGTTGCAACCTGACGCCACTTCTGCGATTGTGTACAAAGTCAATGGAGACTCAAGAAAATTGTCTAAGTATTTCCTACCAAATTTGGAAATATTTCTCAGTCCCAGATTCATGTCTTATCATCATTTTTGCAATGAAAGACATTCATTGAGTTGACTATATACGAAGAAAAAAGTGGCGTCAGGTTGCAACATTTTTGGGGGGAAGGTTGATTGAGCCAGAATTTTTGTGGTTTTTTTTGGTACCGTTCATGACGATAGAGGGCGTCCAAGAGGTGAAGTTTGTGCCAAACTATGGATTTTTGGTCTCATTTAATGCACACAACAAGCGAATGTCCTCGACGTTACGATATCAAATTATTATTTTCGTTATTGACCCATCCAACATGGCTAACTTAAGAACAACATATTGTTTTCCAAAGTGTTTTTGTCAAAATTGCCATTTTCAACGGTTCATCCTTAACTGGCATTGCTGCATTTAGCTTATCTTTCCCACCTTCGAATGGTTACTTCGTGACATTTCACCTCTTTATGTAAATGGAAAATCTTTTGCAATGAAATTCTTCTGACCAACAAGAACATGTATTAAGGTTTAACGTGTTTATTGGAAAGTTGAAACTGCATGCGCTAAAGTATACGTCGCAATATTATTCCTCCATCATAATTCAAAAACAAGCTTGGTTCACAACTTTGTGAAAATTATAATTTCTCTCAGTAAATTTAGATTGGAATAAAATTATAGATATCTTACTTAAATCTATTTTCATTACAAAACACAGCTGTATTGGTATTTCTTGATATTAAATGACTATAAGTTAAACATTTTTTTTCACGCTTTAGGTATGTACTATATGTCAGTATCATAATTAAGTACTACGCAATAAAACAAAAATAAAAGTGGGTAATAAGTGAGTGTAAAAAATGCGATTTTAAAGCTGTTTAACTTCTCAGCCTTTAAAACAACAGTTTCCATTGTTGAATATTAAACCGAATTATTAAATGTGGGAATTCATATGCCCGTCATACGGGTTAAATATCTTAACAATGAGAAAATAATTACTCGACCGTTTGGTTTTTGGAACATTACTAACAATGAAATGCAACAATAGCAAATAATCATAAACTTGCAAAATTATCGACAAAAACAGTCTACAGAATACTTAATTGTTGATCTCAAAAAAGGCCGTCATGTAGTCCTCTTTGTAAAATTTGACTTGTTTAAGTCTTTCATTGACTGACCGTCACTTGTCAATTAACCCTCTTGATATCTGAACAGTCATAGACAGGCAAAAAAGCAATCTTCTCCCCCTGCCTTGCCTTTGACACAGGCTTGTCATACCAACAGTCAGATCATATTTTGAACAAGCACTGTGACTACCCTAATTCAGTCAACTTTAGACAAAAGCAGGCAAGTGGTAGGCACAGCTGCCTTATCAATCACCTATATATTATATAGTCAAAGCATAGCTGTATTAGGTTAACAATCACGGCCAGTCAATCCTGCTTTATGTATAGGCTGGAAGCTCTCGGCTGTTGAAAACAATGTCGTTGATTGATTTTGAATGAAAGGACATCTTGGCACGGAATGCATCTTTACATAGGAGGGTTGACCTATCTTACTGACTGGCTAATCTGTTAGGCCAAAAAAAAATATTATTCGGTCTCTGGTCAGACCAAAGTTCCGGAATTGACGCGGCGACGCGGCTTTTTTTTTTTTTTTGCTTTTTTTTTTCTTCTTCAAGCTTGGATTGTACAGACAAGGTGGGGTACTATATTGCTTTTTTGGTGTCCTCGTGTACATTGGTGTCCTTCATAATCTGCCTTGGTGCTCTCGATCATCTGCCGTGGTGCAATTTCCCATTCTTTGGTGCTCTTTGGTAAAAACAAATTGAGGAGGTGCAGCAATAGAGGGCGCTGTTGGAGCTACCACGGAACAATTTGGGAAAAAAAAGATTGACGCGCATGATTAAAATCGACGCGCGTGCTGACCAGTGACCGACTTATTTTTTTTTTGGCCTTAATAAGACTGCATGGTTATACGCGATTTCCGTCAAGTTACTCTACTGGTTTACGAACTTTTTCGGTCATTCAAGATCAATTTAATAGAATGGTGTACGCCTGGGACAAGCTTTATAAATAGGTTTTGTCTAGACAAGTATTGGTTTTTAGCACGACGTTCCGATCAGTCACTTCACACCTACGGGGACGGTGGGAATGGGGCGGTGGAGAACTCACGGCAGCGCAGTCGGTTCCACGTGCGGTGGACCGCCTCTTGAAACTCCCGGTACTTGGCCGCGTAGATGAACGGGTTGATACACATGTTGCACATGACCAGGACCTTGGTAGCGCGCAGCTCCGGGATGCTCCGGCTGTGCAGGAACCCGGCGCTGTAGATGATGTACTCGATCTCCACGGGCGTCCAGCAGATGACGTAGGTGGCGAAGACCAGGCACAGGGTCTTGGTGACATTGCGACGGGCCTTGATGAGCATGAGTTGGGTGGGGCCGGAGCGGCGACGTTCTCGCCCGACTGCTACACTGTTGGATGAGGGAGCTGCGTGTATGGGAGGCAAAATAACAGACGTTATTAACTTAATTTGACAGTCAATATTCAATGCAATAATGGCAAACCCTTTAAAATCAACCAGGATTCTCTGTCACAAAGAGACCCACTACACACAGGAAAGCAATTGGTAACAAACATTTCAGAAATGACCAGACGAGTTTATTGTCTAACCTCGTTTCCGTGGAGACAGCGACGATCTGGCCGACCGGTCTCCATACTTGGAGAGCTTCTTCAGCCGAGAGATGATGCGGACATAAGCAAAGGACATGATGGCTAAGGGAGCCAGGTACTCCACGAGGATCGTCAACCCACCGAAGAGGTTTTGGATGGCATCGCTGGGGAACTCCTGGTAGCAACGGCCGTGGTCGGTATGCGAGACCACCAGCCAATAGGACTGGTAGCAGAGACCGACCAACCAGGCCAGGAGCATGGTCAACTTGGCTTTGCGTCGGGTGAAGTGGCTACGGCGGCAGATCGGGTGCAGGACCGAGATGTAGCGCTCCAGGGTCACCAGAACCAAGTTGATGGTGGAGGTGTGCAAGAGGGACCAGAAGAGGGCCTTGGAGTACCACACCTTGCAGGAGACCGCGCCCACCCAGCCTCCTACAGCGAGGAGGGGTTTCCCCCGGTCCAGCTGCAGGGCGGCAAACATCACCGAGCTGATGAAATCGATGACAGACTGGTGGAAGATGTACAGGCTGGTCAGGGTGCGAGTTAGGCTCCAGTTGAGGAAGAAGATTCCGATGACCAGACCGTTGCCAAGCAGGCCCAGCCCGGCTATTACCATGCTGGTGGCGAACACGGCGACCTCGATGACGTCATCTTGGTCTGGACCAATCACGCCGCTGAGATTGGACGAGTGTGTTGTCGTGTTGACTTCGAAGACGTCATCAGCTGTGTCGTCGGATGTCGTCAGACATAAAGATGATATCAGTAACAGGTACATGCACATGAACGCCATCTCTGCAATAACGTTAGCATGATTAAGCAAACAATATTAAAATATTACAACTCTTATAACTTTTTCCTTAATTAAAGTTGTAAATTAACACGTGATCACTGTTTCAACTTTGTAGGGCACATGTTATATAAAGGAACGTGAATGAATGCATTTTTTGTTTTTAGATGTAGGCTCATATCAGTTATCATTGCATGATTCAGTTATCTGCATGATTCGGTCCAGTAGTTTTGATTCCAGCGCCATTTCGCACACAGTAAACAAAATGATCTTAACCCTTGGCTTTGGTTTACAAAAATGGCGCTGGAATAAAAACTACGGAACCGAATCAGGAGTTCTAGGTATCATTTTCCTTCTTACAAAATTTCCTAGCCAAACATATCAATGGGGCATGTTCCCTACCCCTCTTCCTGGGATCTCCAACTAAGCCAATAGACTTTGTACACGACTACCAGAGTTGGGTCGGGACACTGTATTCTTTCTTTGAACAAGTTGAGGTCTGTTATCGTGGAAAATGGAAATTTTCATTTTCCCAACATTGTCAAGTATAGGGTATCCAAGAAGGAAACCTTTCCTTCATTTGTGTTTAATCTTCAAATGACTATCAGTAAATTAAATCCGATTCCTTAAAATTACAAAAACAAGGAAGGCATATCATTCAAAACCAAAATGGACAAAAATTAATCGGCGAGTTGTTGCAATACATCATGTGGGATGTGGTTCGTCACGTACTTTATATTTTTTATATATCAACCATAATTGTTCACATCTTGATCTAACTCACTACTAAGCCAGTCGATTCGTGGATGTGCTCATAATCTGCTGTAGTCCATTTCTTTCGGGTCGAACCACTCACTCCAACCATTAGAAGTATGCTCAATTTGTCGGGAATTGATAACTTTGCAGTTGACAGATTCAACAGAACTTGATCTCCTACAGAAGCCCACAAGCTCAAAAAAGAGCAAGCTCGTGTCGCAGTAGTCTTTCCACCACCGGTCTTTTGAAACGACTGGTCGTCTTCATCCTCCACTGGCCAATCAAATCCTCAGCCGGTGATGTAATGTTATCTGTTCTTTGTTTTCTCCGCGCGGCCTTACGGGTTGTGGATGACAATAGGAGATAGGAGCAGCTCTGCCTCAGCAGGAAGGCATTGTTCAGCCCCTGCACTACAGGTGTTTTTGACATACCGTTGCTTGGAACTTCCAAAAAACGTGGTAAACAAATTTTCTGCGGTTGGAAGTTGCAACACTAGCACAACCTTCTTTTTAGAAGTCATAAAATGACATATACAAGAAGTGAAATGATGACTAAAATATCTACGAATTATAATCCTTTATACAGTGGCGTATCAAGAGTTTTACTCGCGGGGAGGCAAGTGGGATCCCCCCTGTTTATTGTGTCCATTGTTTTTTTCAAAACAATTTTAAAAGTGACACGCTCGAGGAACACAAAGGGTTTTGGCCTACGATTCTAAGGTTTCCTCTTTTTTTACCTTTAAGCCAAACATTTCAAATTCTTAATCGATATTCTAGTGAAGCCAGGTTTGAGGTTAAGATTTGACAGAATGATGGCCTAACCCGAGATCGCGTTAGGATTCACCATATCAAAATCTGGAATTTATCTTCTTTTTTTAATATCAATATTGACCACTTTAGTGGAAAGCCACTTACAAAGCAAGCGTCTCATGATATGCAAGCAGATTGCGGCGATTAATTATGCAAAACAAGACTGCATCTTGACCTCCAGATTCTGACTATTCAGCAGGCGCCTTATATCGAGAGTCAGTAACCCATTGTCGTATTACAAAAACATGGCAGCGAAATGGACCAATCAACATTGGCCGAATTCCCTAGACCGAATTGCTCGAAATGATGTCACAATTTCTAAAGTCAACTCCGATTGGCTGGCGCGCGAGGTTGCACAAAGTTTGCAATGCTGATATACCAGATGTTATAACGGTGCCTGCAAGCTCCGTTGAATTTAACAGATGATACTAAGGTTAATAGCAAATGTGGATGTGTGTGTGTGGGGGGGGGGGGGGGGGGGGGGAGGGTGGGGGGGTTGCCCCGTATTAACTACCTATTCTACCTCCCGTAAAACATGTTAAATGTTAAAATAAGAAATTTCACTATAAATAAGATGCATGTCCTGTATTGTTTTATGCAATTAACGATGACATAAAAACGGCAATCAAAGTTGTTTTAAGAACGTCAACGAATTCTCGCATGATAATCCCGGAACATAAAAATGGTTGATAAAATAGCCTAAACTTCTATTGGATACACGAATCTATTTTTAATAACAAAGAACGACTGCCATCGAAATGCATTACCGTATACGGCTCGCGGAAACACGCGCGCATTGCTAATATACATGCAATTTGTAATAACAGTTTAGTGACCAAGGCTTTTTGCCTGCTGCTAAAGCTTGATGGTGCACTCGGGATAAACTCTTCAAGATTGAAAGAAAAATCCAAACACCTTGGGGGAATATTCGTCGTGAAAACAGAAGACGGGCCCGTGAGGGGCCGGGGCATCGCCTGCACCTGAGCGGCAGGATGTCACCGGGTTAAACGAACGCTTCCTTGCGATGAACAAAATCTATTACGGCTCCGGTGAGAGCGACCGAGGAAATGCCAAGAGGCGAAATTCAGAAACGGAAGCCGTTGGTTTTTTTTATTCTCACTCTGTCTCGAAGAACGCTTATTATGATGCTCTGAGTTTTTTTTTTTTTAAAGATTGACAGGATACCCCGCTGGGAGATTATAGAAATTTCAAAATTAACTGTCAATCGAACGACTGGGATTATCGGCTGTGGCGCGAAATACGTTCAACTCGCGGGGGATCGGAACAAGGAAATCTCGGAGATTCTCTGGGATTCTTGACTTGAGACGGAGGAATCAATTCCTGCGGAGCCGCTGGAAATTGGAATTATATCTGATAACGTTTCCTATTTCAATTGTTTCGCAATTGACAAACAATTGTCCAACTCAGGTCATAAATCGAAGAATATTTGAGCTATAACTAAAAAACAATTTTTAGTCAATGAAGATACTAAAACTGAATAGCTCAAGATTTCAACCACTTTTTTTGGGGGGGGGGGGGCAAATTATTTCACTTTTTATAGGTCAGTTTCAATCGAAAATTTCGCCTTTTTCGATTTTCTAATTTTGAGAACGACAAAAAGTCCAAAAAGTGTATGTTTTCTTTTTTAAAAAAAGGCAAAATCTCACATTTAGCAGGACATCAAATGCTACATCCTATGATTTTGAAAACATTTCTTATTTTTGGTTCTCAACACTAAGTCTTGATCTCGCATTTTTAAACCTCACAGCTTTTAAGGACTAAGATTCAATTTATGTAAAGGTCATTAGTCTCCCCCCCCCCAAAAAAAATAATAAATGAAAACACACCTGGCATACACACGTCTTAAGAATGTTCTATCGCTGTCCCCAAGAGGCTCAAAAACAACTCGACACATTTCTTTGTTGGCGAAATGAATGCGAAATCTTGCCGGAGGCTTTCAGGAAAATTCTTCGGCATGATGACAATTTTGTACTTGAACATGAAGCGCGCACTATGTCCTGTTCAAAATAATGTTCATTGAAAATCTCGGGAATCGGGGTTGTCTTATTACATGTATAGGTAGGACTTTAGAAATGAAATGTCACATGTCACTTAGTCTTCTTTGTACTGACTGAATCGGTGACTGACTGACTGACTGGCACTTGTGAAGTAGACTTGCTTATTAGTTTCACCTTGGCCCAAAGACTTGAAATGGGATTACATCATTACACCGTCTAATGCCAATGAGTGGGCTTAACCCGGCCCATTGTGTAAACCAGATGCATGAAAAGACTTCCAGTGAATTGCCATACTGAATCAATTGAATGGAATTTTGTACACTCTGGGTCCAGTTTTACTAGCCTTGCCTTGTATCGTCTTTCAGAATGTGCCAATGAATTGCTGTAGACTATTGAAATATCCACCCAGGAGTATAAATGGGTACCAGTGAGGGTCGAGGACCGTTGAGCGCTGATATCGGCTGCCGCGTGGTCCCATGGCCTGATGAACGGGGTAATAATTGTAAAGCGCTTTGAGATTGTTGATACGATGGAAAGCGCTATATAAGCACAATTATTATTATAATTATTATTAAATATAGCGCCAATCTTATGGGTAAGAATGTATCCTGACACCACTTTTTTGGTTGTGTACAGTCTATGGAGAGTAGTTGCCGAGTAGCTTCTATCAAAATTGAAACTGTTTCTCAGTCCCAGATTCATGCCTTTTCAACATTTTTGTAATGACTGACCTTCATTGAGATAAATATAATGATGCAACAAAGTGGCGTCAGGATGCAACATTCTATCCCGCTTATGTAATAACTCTCCATTGTGAACACATATCTACTAACCTGGCGGTTCTAGACATGTTTACATTGGAGTTTTCCTTGAAGTCTATAAGAGAATAAAGACTACACGTCCAACATATTGATTTCAATATTTTATTTCTCAAAAACTAAACAAAAGACTGTACAAAGCAGAACTCCAAAACCTATCACACAAATTGTGCAGCAGGGTATTTGATTTTACCTTCCCTTAATTAACCCTAACCTTCCCAAATCCTCCCAAATCATCTTTGCAATACAAGGTCCGGCCCAAGACCTTGACACAGTGCATCCTTCAAAATCAGCCACACATTTGCCAGATAGCCTCAATCCTGCAAAATCCTCTATTTTGCAGAGAGAATTTTGGAGGATTTGGGAAGGTAAGGGTTGAAAAGTATGAAATAGAAATGTATGCAATAAACACTTCCCCATTGTAATTTCATTACTTTGACACTAATACAGCAAATGAATCAACAAGCTGAAGAAAGGTTATTTTATCAGAACTTTTGTTGCATGACTAATTTATTCCTTTAATTTCACTCCTTCCCCAGGAAACAAGCACTTCAACTAGACTCATTTCAAGATGAGTTTTCAAATTGTATGCTGTAGTGAGGTAAGTGAACCATCTTTTATTATGTGAGGCGTTCTGACACAATGAGATAGAACTGGGCAGAGGTCGAAATGAGGGTTTGCGGGTATTAGGAAAGAGAGTAAAATTCTTCTTACAATACTGTTTGTTGCACTCAAATCGGACATTCCGTTGACGAGTTATGGCTGTTTAAAAATCCACACTTATCGACGTGTCAAAAGAGTAAAATACTGAGAGAGAGGCCTTTAAAGTTTCAAGCACACTTTTATAGTACACTTTTATTCCACGATTTGTAAACTATTTCTTTCAAATATGTGTAGTAGATATATCAAAGATTACAGATATCAATAAATCTGAAAATCAAAAAACCCCACCAAGACCCAGTTCGGTTTTGTGCATTTTTCTCCACTACGGCTTGTGTCCAGTTCCGTCTCATTTTGCCAGAACGCCTCACATATTATGAAGTTCTATAGGTTAGACATCTGGGAGCTTCTTACATTACCTTGTCTAGATCCCAGACCTATTTACTTGAAACCCAATGGTTCTACAGTCTGGAGTGCTGAATGGTAACTCGTTGCAACCGGTGAAAACTGGTGTGATCATGTTTTCACCGGCTGATGTAACCCCGCCCACACCTACAAAAACAAATGCTAGACTGGACAGCAAGGAAACTGTGTTAGACTTGCTCAAGTCCCCCTTTTTAGTTTAGCATACCAGAGCCATAAACTACCGCCAACGTAAGGACAATCAAGAAATCTGCAGAAGCCACTACTGTTGTGTGCATTCACAAGACTTTATCATGCCTTTGCTCCCATGTCTGTGTGCTACTTGAGTGGTCCCATCCCTAGACTGGCCCTCAGCTCGTTCATAGCTTCAATCTCATCGGTCTTGTGTGTTCGTTTGCTTTCGTCTCTGTCCTTGTCCGATCGACTGTGTCGGCTGCTGCTCTTGTGGGAACTTTTCTGGTGTCTGGTAAAAAAGACAAACCAACAATTCACGATTAACCCCCTATGCAAGCATACATTCTGTGCCAAGTTGTCCTTTCAGTCAAAATCAATCAAGTGACTGTTTCCAACAGTTAAGAGCTCCCAGCCTACATAAAGCAGGATTGACTGGCTGTGACTGTTTATGTAACTTGATACAGCTATGACTTGACTGTAGGTGATTGATAAGCCAGCTGTGCCTACCACTTGTCTGCTTTTGTCTGTTGACTGAATTTGACTAGTCACAGTGCTTGCTTCAATTATGACCTGACTTTGTGACTAGCCTTTGTAAAAGGCATGGCAGGGGAAGTGGATAACATTTTTGACTGTGTCTGTTAAAACAGTAGGAGGGTTATTAAGTTTCAACATTCAGTTTTTTAATTCAATCTGATATCACAATATCAGCCGAGCTTCAATAGTTATGGGACACACAATGACAAAAGAATAACCTTTGAATTGACTTGAAACTTGATGTCTTGTGATTCAACTTGTAATTAACGTTGATGGCTTTATTACAAACACCGTGAATTGTTTTGAAAAGAATGGGCAATGCTTTGCAGTCTGATTTTGTACCTGTGCTCATCAGGGGACCGAGACCGGTGACGAACGCTGCGATGGTGATCGTCGTCTCGATCGCGGTGTCTGTGACCCGGTGACTTGGACCGTTGGCGTCGCTCTCGCGACCTGCTGCGGTGTCGTCGCGGACTGCGTCTGCGCTCTCTGCGGGGTGACACGCTCCTCCGACGAGGCGATCTGCTACGTCTGTAAGAAAGAACAAATGATTCAAATTATCCCCAAGTTTTAAAGAGCGAGTGTAAAGGGCGATAATGGACTTAAGACTAGCCCTAACCATTTACAGTATTTTAGCTAGAAACACTGCTGAATGCAGCAACATGCAACACTTGTCAAAATGCCCGCCCAGTGCAGCAAGATCCATCAGGTCAAAACTCCCAAGGCCAAACTGCCTCAGAGTCTATGGTCATCAACTGCAGTAGGATACAACTGTGGCATTGTTCAATCGGACTAGCTGTCATTGTTTCAGAATTGGCCGTTTACGCACTGGTGTTGATGGCTCGATGCAGCAAGGTCCCACAGACTTTTTCACCTGATGCACTGTGTTGCGTCTGGCAGGGTTAGGGCTGGTGTACTTATTCTGCCCAATTGCCGGTGCAATGCCATTACTGGGGGCCACAATGGGTGAAAAGCTGTTTTGTGCTTTGATTGGTCTAAGATCCCTAATGTTCAAATGTGATTGGTTGATTACGTCCACAGGGTTTAGATGTTTACCTTCTGACTGGTGAACGGCTGCGACTCCGCCGGCGTCGGGGCGAGGGGCTGCGATGTCGGCCACTGCGATGTCTGTCGGGTGATCGGCGAGATTCCTGATGAAAAAAAAAAAAAAGCAGTGCTTTTACTGGAATAACAAGGGTAACTATTCATTACGTACGTTTACGTATTTACTGTACCTCATACATATGCATGATTGAGAGCTGAATTCTCACTGGTCCATTCACCATCACGTGCCAGCCACTATGTTTTACCAAGTGCGCACGCGAATATTATCGTTATCTGTGCGATAGTCCACTACACATGCACTTTACGAAGCAATCGTGGAACTATCGTAGAAGGGATGCTATAAGGAGAACAAGAGATGCAGAAAGCATCTCACTCACCTGTACATCCATCTCATCTTCACTGGACGACTCTGCCTCATCCAGATCATCATCTAGAGCACTGACCTACAAAAGGTTACATACAACAAGAAACAGGTGAATAAAACTTGATGGTTTGTATGGTGAAGTACCCGGTAACAAAGAAGAGTGAGCTTACGGTTGCCTACGTGACACCGAATTTGTTTTTGTGAGCTTGTGCGGTTCTGAAAAGAACTAGTATTAACTGAATGTGCTAGATAGTATTCTTATTGTCAGGCATGCAACTGGAAATTTAGGGAAAAAAACGAGGAAACTCCGAACCACACAAGACTTTGTACAGTGTTTTCAATTTGTAATGGCATTCATGAGAAGTACAAAATTAGGAAATCCGCAGATCCGAGGAAAAGTTGCATGCCTGTATTGTTATTATGAAGTATTTGGTAATGAAACCAAGGATTCCTCAAAAGCACCCCTGGCACTGTAGCTTGCAAGGCTGAAGAAACCTATGGCGAAAAGACAATGAGAAGAAGTTACAGTGAGGTGGGAAGAACCCCAGAATGATATTCCAGGGAAAACCCACAGAATCAGGTAGGGACTACCCAATCCACATATTGGCTCAGGCAGAAATCGAACCTTGGTAACGGCGGTGGAAGACCAGGAAAGTACTGCTGCCCCAACCTGACTTCCTTTGAAAGAAACCAAGTACGAATCAGAAATGATTTTGAAAAAGGAGAATTGTTTTTTCTTCATTGATCTCACCCTTGGTTCCAGCTGCTCTGTCTGCTCCAGGACCTGGCGCTTCTGCAGGCGTGGTAGGATGATGTCGGCCACTCGCTCCTCGTGAAGCAACTCGTCCATAAACTCATCCACGTGAGAAAGGTAAAACTCTAGCAGGGGGGAAGAAGGGATAATGTTCAAGATACAGCGAAATGCTTACATTTTACGGACTCCCTGAAGAAGTACTACTTTGTGATTACAGAGGGAGAGTTTGGCGGATACCACTGTGAGGGACATTCGAACGTATTGCCGACGATGCCCGATGCTCACGCACATATTTAGAATAAAATCACTCATGCGTACTTCGCGGCAACACAAACACCTCCTCAATCCTCCAAAGTCCTTCAGGCATTTTTGGAGGATTGAGGATGAATACATATTGAGAGGCAGCACTGCTGGAGGATTTTGAAAGATTGAGTCAGTGGGTATCCTTCATTTGAACATAAAGTGAAAAAACTTTGGAGGATTTTGGAGGATTGAAGATGGTTCCTTGCAAAAAGGGCCTGGGTGGTTAGGGTTAAGGGCAAAAATAAATGTTTAGAGCTTAAATGTTTAGAGCGTTGATGAAATTTCACTTACTGTGAAATTTGATATACAAATTTTGCTTGAGCAAGGCACTAGAGGCGAAAAATCAAAGTGCACCACATTAGAGGCCGCACCACGTAAGGGTACATCAACAATACAGTGGGGATGCTGACTTTTCAGTAATGCAATGTAAGTCGGGTCACATAATTCAAAGAGAAAACCTTGATACATATACGGAGTGAAAGCATGCCAAAAAACTACAGTTAATTAACCCCCGCTTTACCTCCTTCTTTGTTCTGCCGTCTGATCTTCCTGTAGTCATTGTACAGCGGTTCCAGATACTTGTAGATGTCTAAGGAATCACCAGTTAGTCGCATATACATGGCTCCCAAGGCTCGGACGTACCTGTGACCCAAAAAAAAATAACTTAAAGGGAATATACAACATTTGCAAACATCGAAAAATAAAACTTGCAAGTTTTTACGAAATACCTTACTAGGGTGTTGGTAAATGACAGTCTAAAGCATCCTGTAAAATTATGGCACCTGGTGTGAAATCGTTTTCAAGAAAATGGTATTTTTGTATACATTTCCAACGGTGGTCGGCCGACCACCGTTGGAAAAACCTAACTATTTTTCAACTTCTGCTCCAAATTTACCTTTTTTTTCAGTCCAAGTTTCGTTTGCTAAATTTGTTACATGTTCATTAACGGGCGCAGGCCAGCTAGACTGGTTCCCTTACCTTACAATTTTCCGGCATCTATAAATTGATCCATTTTATCTTTAGTGGAGTCAGGGAACCAGACTACTTGAACATTTTTGTTTTTCTTGGTTTTTCCAGCATTTTCAAACACAAAACTTCAAACATGTCAGTGTAATAATATTTGATCTATTATACTAACCCCTCAAATAGTTCATTTCTGAAAATTACAGCAAAAGCCAATGATGTACATTCCCTTTAAGCAATGACCTGATGTTAACAGTTTGTGACCGCAAACAATCAAAGCAACACATGAGTGTTCAAAAGTTGAGGGGTAGTATATGAGAGTCCTCAAAGTATTTGTTGAGCTGATCGTTGAAAAAAAAATTGTATAGTAACCCTCACCCTGCAAGGCACAACACAGTTTGAGGCCAGAAAAATACCAGAAAAATATTATGGGGAAAACCCACGGAATCAGGTACTGAGGTAGTGACTGCAAACCCAATCCACATGTTGGCCCAGGCGGGATTCGAACCCGGGTCACAGCGGTGGAAGGCGAGGAAAGTACTGCTACGCCAACCTGACAAAACAACACTTTTTAACCAATTAAAAAGGGATGGTTTTGTTCCAAGTATCTAAGTCTGTGCACAAACCATTTGTGATCACACCACTCACTTGAAATCTTCATTCTTGATAAACTCGATGATGATGTCCTTCTCGGGCTGAATCTGCAGCATCTTAAGGATGAGGCATAGGAACGGGCTCGGCTTGATGTTACCTCCGTATGTCCCACCGATAAACCGTAGCTCCATGGCCTTATCTACTAGCAGCTCCGCTATATAACATGAAAATATACATGTAGTTACAACCAAAAATAGTTTTAAAATTACTGCAAAAAAACTTCTTTTTTTTGCACTCTTACGTAGCTTAAAACAAAGGGGAGTTTAAAATTTAACCTGCGAGTTGGCGACATTAAGCATGTTGAGTGCATGCAGGCATGTCATAGATAAAGGGCACGGTTTTGAATGTTTGAGGGAAATTTGGGGGTCAAATGATGATGAAAAAGACATAACGCAACATGAAAATGAAGATGGCGATCACCGCATGATGTACTGTGAACGCGCAAGGCAAGCTGAATCACACAGCATCAACTGTAAACTGCGCAGAAAATTGTAAATTCTACCCAAAGAAACTGTTCAAAATTCCAAAAAAAGGTGTCATTGTAATTGAGAGAAGTCTGCTTTAGGTTGAACAAGTCATTTTGAGTAATAAAAAGCACGCTTAACTTGATCGAAACTAAACAGGGGCCCTGCACTTCGATCGCCGTACGTACATGTACATGTACGATGCATCGTACACTACGGGTGTCGGATGCTTCGCCCCATTTCCACTTCGCCCCATGTCACTTCGCCCCATCCCCACTTTGCCCCATCCCCACTTTGCCCCATCCCCACTTCGCCCCATCCCCCCTTCGCCCCATCCCCACTTCGCCCCATCCCCATTTTGCCCCATCCCCGCTTCGCCCCATATCCACTTCGCCCCATGTACAAAGGTGAAGGCTAGGGGTGCAGATCAGTCAATATTAAAACAGCCAAAGACCCCGATAATAAATGCTCCCAATTCTAGAAAATCAGGAAAAATACAAACTCTCTGATGAGGTGTTCGAGACACAGGGACCAAGACACCTACACACATCAACTTTTTGCTCATTTCATCATCTTTCATTTTCTGTTCAATTTTGATGTACATGAACACGATACAGGCCCTTTACAGGGGTGAAATTCCATGTTTATTTCAGTTTCCCTCACTTTTCGTTATAAACTTTTCCCCGGTCTTTGAATTAAAAAAAATGCCCGAATAAAATCCAGCTCTGAAAAAGCCTTTCCGGAGAATGATTGACAGCGGCATTGTTCACATTGATACAATGCCACTCATGTTCGGTACAAAGTATGTACATTCGGGTTCAGCTGTAGACCACCTTTGATGAGGACCTGCCGCTAGTAATTTGAACATTCTTAGATGATAAACAGTGATGATAGTATCTCAGCCAATGAAATGAGCCAGTTCCCGGCAAATAAATACGCCATTGGTTGGTTTCATCACGGACCGTCTGCTTTCATGAATATGACGTTATAATATTGGAATTCCGAACTATCTGAGCCACAGGTGCATGCTGCATGGCTGTGTGTCCATTATCACATTCCAACCTGGTTGCCTAGAAATACTGTTGCTAGGAGACTCCCTTGTGATGCCTGGATGGGAGCTGCTGGTTGCGTAGCCAGAAATCTTGTATGTGATTATTTTTCTCGCAGCATGCAGAAACAAGAATGCTGCCGCTTTTGGGAAATTTGTGCAGGCAAAGTTTTTCACATTTTGGAATTAAAATGCAGTTTGCATTTTCGTTTAATAAAAGTTTTTTTTTTTTTTTTTTAAGAAAATCGGAGCTCAAAAAACAGCTCATTCGACTGACACCAAGCAGATATTAGTCAATGATTTTCGCTGCAGCAATTAGTGAATCTTTTTGGGATTGTTTTTGCCAATTAAATAGATGAGATTTTTTTTTACATGTAACGGCTGGGGCGAAGTGGGGATGGAGCGAAATGGGGATGGGGCGAAGGGGGGATGGGGCGAAGGGGGGATGGGGCGAAGGGGGGATGGGGCGAAGTGGAGATGGGGCGAAGTGGGGATGGGGCGAAGTGGGGATGGGGCGAAGTGGAGATGAGGCGAAGTGGTTAGGGGCGAAGTGGAAATGGGGCGAAGTGTCCGACATTCGTACACTACAGTGTATAATGCAATGCAATGACAGGTACAGGTGTGTAGGCGGGTTGCCTGTGTTATTCATTGATCTCCATATACACATATGTATATGGAGATCAATGGTTATTGTGTATGTTGTGCCCATTCTTGAAAATCACGCATTCTGGAGAATGGGCGCGCATTCTTAAGAATGAGCGCCCATTCTTAAGAACGAGCACGCGTTCTTAAGAATGAGCGCTCATTCTTAAGATTGGGTGGGAATATCATGTGCACAATTTATGAATTTTGCCCAATCTTAACAAACATTGCACGACATAATTATGTTAAATGAATTGTATAGCGGTTAAAAGGGAAACAATTCATATAAAGAGGAAAGAAAATGTTCTATGCTTCTGTACTCGTATAACTACGATAATTTGAATCATATTAAACCTGTTATTATTGCTTTTTCCTGCCTACTTATGGGAAGTTTTGTAATAACGGAGGACTGGGAACTAGTCTGGGAAGTGCTTTGTTTAGGCTAGACAAGTACAAGTCCCTGTATGTATCATATGCGTGCCACGAAAAAAAAACGATGTCCAGAAGCTGCCAAAATTGCTCTTTTGACTAGATAGAATCCAGCTCTGCGACGTTATGGTGGGGTGTGAACAATAAATTGGTGGCAATTTAAATGGGAAATAGCATTAGCACTATGGGATGTCGCAGTATTCATTCTCATTCTTCACATTCTTCATTCTTACGTCCCCCCCCCCCCTCTTTTATTATCCCAAAAATCTGAATTCTTTCTTATTTATTCTTATTTTTTCCCCCGGTCCCCTCCCCCAATACGCGTATACTTTTCATATCCACTCTACTTTTCAGCGCCTTGCGTTGCAACAGTATAATTATTAAGAATCAGTGAACGAGGATTCAGCTAGACTTGCCAAGCGCAGCCAGTGCTCGGCATCGACAAGACCGTTATCTTGTCGCACATTCTCAAGAATGTGCGCTCAATCTGGAAGAGTTATTTTTTGCCAAGATTGAGCAAGGATCCAGTTGCACATTCTCAAGAATGTGCATACCCATTCTCGAGAATGCGTGATTTTCAAGAATGGGCACAACATGTACAGTACTGTAGGCAAGCTACCCGCGCAAGATGCCTCCACTTCGAGCTCCTTTCCCCCCATAAATAAAGGTTACTTGTGCAATCCAAATACATACCCGTGAGCGCAAAGCATTCCTCTTTCCAATACTTCGATTCATATATTCGAGATCTGATGATTTTCTCCACTAAATACTGTGGATTGGTTCCTTTCACACTGTGCGCGTCTTTCACCGTGCGATTCGCCATCTTGATTTCGTGTCAAAGGTCATTAATTTTGCTAGACTCACATGCAGCCGTTCTTCATTATCGTCGAAAGACCTTCAGTAAAGCATTAAATATTACAGAAACATTCAAATTAATTTAAAAGCGTGAGGTTTAAGTATCGCATTTTTATTGTCATATATTTGGCTTCTCGTTTCTGCCACTCCATGTAATACTAATGTGAACTGAATGATACACTCAACACAAAAAAGAAAGTCTCCCCTTAATACTTTTTTTGTCCAACTCGAAAACTACTGGTACATCATTGCTCAAATTACGACTGATATCAGTACAAAAATTCTTTAGCAATCCAGCCATACTCTTTGTTTTGGGTCGACAGTGATAACGTGTTCAAAATTATGCAATTTATGACAAATGGTACCGCAAAAAAGTTGCACTTTTATATACTTGCAGAGGGTGAACCACAAACTGCACGTCATACAAAAGTGCAACTGTTTCGGTGTAATGTCATAAATTGCATACATTCGTACACATTATCCCTGTTTGGGGCCAAATCAAGAGTATGGCTGGATTGCTAAGGAATTTCTGTACTGATTAGTCGTTATTTGAGCAAGAGGTGCTCAGTACTTTTTGAAACAGACAAAAAGTATAGGCGGCGACTTTCTTTGAGTGTAGTTTGTATGTAATGAAAGTAATTCAATGAAGAGTTCATTTCAAAACGCGATAATTAAACGCCATCTCGTTCCCTTTTAAAGTCCCGCTTCTCGTCTTGTCCAAAGTTACTTAATTTCAACTGCTTTTATAGAATTAAGAACACAATATAGAGCGACAATATAGAGCAGTTTGGTAAAAACTGCTATATTTGCTCATAAACAGTTATAACTTGTCATCAGTCATAGCCGAGTACTTTTGTTTTCAGTATAGTTTTTCAATTTGATTTATCGCCTTTTAGAAATAAACTCTTCAAATATCAGATTCAAATAGGGCCGTTCTCAAATTTTACGAAAGGCTGAGTGCGCCCATAACAGGCCATGGAGAAGGGAAAATGAAACAAATTAAAATTCCATCCTCTATACCGGTCCTATTGGCTAGTTGAATATACGTTTATACCTTATTTGGAAGTGGTTGTCCAAGAGTTTAATTGAATGAGAAAAAAATACAAAGGATCACAACCACCATTCTTACGAGGCATAGAAATATCTCTGAAGTATAAAATGAATAAAATGCATCTTACATACCGCCGAAACATATTTGAAAACATAGAAACGGTGGATATTTGGGGTATAAATAGTAGGAGCAAAATTACTGTTTGATAGGTTGATACTGAGAGGGCGTGCTTTAAATCCTCGAAGGCCGAAGCACGCGTGGGTTGCATTCTAGCAGTAGCAGTGGAGTAGCCATGGGGCCGCGGTGGGGGGGGGGGGGGGGGGGGGGGGGGGGCACGTGCCCCCTACAGATTGTGCCCCGGTGCCCCCACCAAAATACTGATAATACCCATTTCCATCCCCAAACAAAAAGCTTTCTTTAAAGTATTATTTCCTCAGTTCTCAGTTTATATTCAATGGTTTACTGTTTACAATTTTTGTGTCAATGGATACAGCGAGGCATTATGGACCCCAGACTGGAAAAACACTGCAATAACGTATTACTGCAATACGTGTGCGAAATCCCCCCCCCCCCCCCCCGCAGGATATTCTGATGCCCCCCATGCAGGGATGGATCCAGCAATTTTCGCAGGGGGGGGGGGGTCATCTGCAAAAAACCTGAAATGTAGGCACTTTGTTTCTCCGGACACTTTGCCACCGTAAGATCAAAAAGAGGGGGGGGGGGGGGGGGGGGGGCACACGTACCATACTTTCATGGGGGTGCTGTTTAAATCCGACGATTATACCCAGACTAGCATAGAGCTTTGAAACACGACAACTGATTTTATGTGTATGTGCCACAGTCAACAATTTTATTATCAAATGTGCCGGATTTAACACTATAATTATCACAGGATAATAAATTGACAAAGCTGGGGGGGGGGGGGGTTGACCACCAAAACCACCCTCCCCCCTTTTGGGATCCGCGCCTGCCACGTGAAATTCTTAAAAAAAAAAATCACCTACAGTATTGTCATCCATAATGGCGGACTCATAGAGTTGCGTTTAGTTAAAAAGTACTTGCAAAGAAAAAAAGCAATTTGAAATGCATATTTTCGGGTTGAAATTCGAAAAAAAAAATTGGGTAACAGTATATCATCTTAGTACACAATCGTGATTCTTATTTAGCTTGTTTTTAAATCCAGGTGCCCCTGTATGTTTTGCATGAAGAATTCAATGGAACCGCATCTCTATAAAGGATCGACCCAGGAAGGAAGGACCATTTCTAGGCAACCACCACCATCAAACTCGGTAAGTTTCATTTCCCTTTAAAAAATATATAACACTTTTTGTGAAAAGTCAAGTATTGAGAGTCTTAAGGATGAAATTAAGAAAAAGTGAAAAGACCCTGTTTTCTCCACGTGTTAAAACGCTTTAATTTCATCGATGATACCAAGGGAATATTTTGACGGAGTTTCACTAACGACAGAGAAATCAGTGAAGGAGAATACACGAGAAAGTGTGGATTCGTAATTTACGAATTAACGGGGCGCGAAGCGCCGAGTGAATTCGTAAATTAACAATCCCCATTTTCTCGTGTATTCTTCGAAAATGTAAGAAGTAGTAACGAAGTTCAAGACAAACTATATATGGTTCGAAAGCTGCTGAGTAGGGCTACAACATGCCAAAAAAGTAGGTCTTTACACTCAAGACTTTTGGAGAAAATGCAAGATGTAGTCACTAAGTCCTGCCGATATCGTTTTGTGCAGCAACTCCCATAGCACGGCCTGTTAGTGCCGTGCTGTATTGGCTCTCTATATCTCGACTGAAAGATACCTTTAACAACGAAATATAAGACAAACTATATATGGATCGAAAGCTGCTGAGTAGGGCTACAACATGCAAAAAACATGTAAGTCTTTACGCTCAAGACTTTTGGAGAAAATGCAAGATGTAGTCACTAAGCCCTTCTAATTTCGTTTTCTGCAGCAACTCCCATAGCACGGCCTGTTAGTGCCGTGCTGTATTGGCTCCCTATATCTCAACTGAAAGGTACCTTTAAGAACGAAATATTAGACAAACTATATATGGATCGAAAGCTATTGAGTAGGGCTACAACATGCAAAAACAACTAAGTCTTTACGCTCAAAACTTTTGGAGAAAATGGAAGATGTAGTCACTACCCTTCTAATTTCGTTTTGTGCATCAACTCCCATAGCACGGCCTGTTAGTGCCGTGCTGTATCGGCTCTCTATATCTCGACTGAAAGGTATCTTTAAGAACGAAATATTAGACAAACTATATATGGATCGAAAGCTTTTGAGTAGGGCTACAACATGCAAAAACAAGTAAGTCTTTTCATTCAAGTCTTGTGGAGAAAATGCAAGATGTAGTCACTAAGTTATGCCGATTTCGTTTTGTGCAGCAACTCCCATAGCACGGCCTGTTAGTGCCGTGCTGTATTGGCTCCCTATATCTCAACTGAAAGTTACCTTTAAGAACGAAATTTTAGACAAACTATATATGGATCGAAAGCTACTGAGTAGGGCTACAACATGCAACAACAAGTAAGTCTTTACGCTCAAGACTTTTGGAAAAAATGCAAGATGTAGTTAGTAAGTCCTGCCGATTTCGTTTTGTGCAGCAACTCCCATAGCACGGCTTGTTAGTGCCGTGCTGTATTGGCTCTCTATATCTCGACTGAAAGGTATCTTTAAGAACGAAATTTCGGATAAACTATATATGGATCGAAAGCTACTGAGTAGGGCTACAACATGCAAAAACAAGTAAGTCTTTACGCTCTAGACTTTTGGAGAAAATGCAAGATGTAGTCAGTAAGTCCTGCCGATTTCGTTTTGTGCAGCAACTCCCATAGCACGGCTTGTTAGTGCCGTGCTGTATTGGCTCTCTATATCTCGACAGAAAGGTACCTTTAAGAACGAAATTTCGGACAAACTAGATATGGATCGAAAGCTACTGAGTAGGGCTACAACATGCAAAAACAAGTAAGTCTTTACGTTCAAGACTTTTGGAGAAAATGCAAGATGTAGTCACTAAGTCCTGCCGATTTCGTTTTGTGCAGCAACTCCCATAGCACGGCCTGTTAGTGCCGTGCTGTATTGGCTCTCGATATGTCGGCCGTAAGGTACCTTTAAGAACGATATTCCACACAAACTATATATGGATCGAAAGCTACTGAGTAGGGTTACAACATGCAAAAACAACTAAGTCTTTACGCTCAAAACGTTTGGAGAAAATGCAAGATGTAGTCACTACCCTTCTAATTTCGTTTTCTGCAGCAACTCCCATAGCACGGCCTGTTAGTGCCGTGCTGTATTGGCTCTCGATATGTCGGCCGTAAGGTACCTTTAAGAACGATATTCCACACAACTATATATGGATCGAAAGCTACTGAGTAGGGTTACAACATGCAAAAACAACTAAGTCTTTACGCTCAAAACGTTTGGAGAAAATGCAAGATGTAGTCACTACCCTTCTAATTTCGTTTTGTGCATCAACTCCCATAGCACGGCCTGTTAGTGCCGTGCTGTATTGGCTCCCTATATCTCGACTGAAAGATATCTTTAAGAACAAAATTTTGGACAAACTATATATGGATCGAAAGCTACTGAGTTGGGCTACAACATGCAAAATTAAGTAAGTCTTTTCATTCAAGTCTTGTGGAGAAAATGCAAGATGTAGTCACTAAGTTTTGCCGATTTCGTTTTGTGCAGCAACTCCCATAGCACGGCCTGTTAGTTCCGTGCTGTATTGGCTCTCTATATCTCGACTGAAAGATACCTTTAAGAACGAAATATTAGACAAACTATATATGGATCGAAAGCTATTGAGTAGGGCTACAACATACAAAATTAAGTAAGTCTTTACGCACAAGACTTTTGGAGAAAATGCAAGATGTATTCACTAAGCCCTTCTAATTTCGTTTTGTGCAGCAACTCCCATAGCACC